GGGGGGGTGCCCCGACCAATGGGGCAAGCAGCCTTTCCAGGGCCCACTGAAAGGTATCAGCCGCCGTTTCCTTCCGTGTGTGTTCTTTACTCGACCGGCGAAGCGAAACAGACAACAAAATACCAAAAAAGAACAAATTAAACAAAACAAAAACCCATTAAAAAACAAAATAAAGATAACAAAACAAAGGGACCTCCTTCCACATAAAAATTAAGCAATAACGAACGTGCTCTTCGATGGTGGCTGATGGAGCGGAGCCATCGACGAGAGTCGTAAAGACAGGAGGAAGAAAAAAAAACTTAAATGGCTATGGGGCCGCGTGCTGCGGTTTTGCCATCCCCGAGTCTCCCGCCAAGGTTCTTGTAATGGTGTGTAAAATTTTAGGGCAACATTTGAAACTCATTGGAAGCCGATTTAACTCGACAAGGACCCCGCTTTCCCTCCGGCAACGGAACTCTGCCCGAATACCTTCAGGTAGGTCAGCCTGGAAAAAGAAAACCTTTAGTTCAAACAACGTGGAACATTTATCATCGACGGCATCAAGATAACGGGAAGTGTGGCCCGGTGAAATTTCGGTTATGCATTAAAGCGTCGCCGTTTCCTGGGCGGCCTGTCCTTCACCTGGGGGAACGGAACCGCCCACCCTATAGTGGAACCGTTCAAAGCAGGGTGAATAATAGCAGCAGCTTTTGTTATTTACGCATCTTTTTTCGTGATACACAATTGCGATTTCTTCTTTGCACAGCGCGCCTCTATAGGGCGCCTAATCAACTCCCAAACCAAATGAAGATTTTCGCAACGCCTCGATACTGAGGCGCCGGCTAATCTAAAGAAGGTAAAAAGTGCCGACCTTAACTTTCTGAAGAGGCAATTCACCTTTTTCTTCCAGCGAATAAATCCGCGTACAATACAAACGTCGAAAAACACTGTGCCGCGGAAAAATAAGGCCGCCAAAGCCCCCTTTCGAATTCTGGCAGTGCCCATGGCAAACCGATTCATTCCCACAGACTGCTCCACATTAAAGATGCCAAAAACCCCGACTTGTTTACGGTTATTGCACATCAGCCGAGATATCGGACTGTGCTCCAAAAAATTTTTGTGTGGTCGGCGTGCTTTTCCGATGGCGTCAAGAAGCAGGGGTTCTGATCATGTTTCGCAACTGCTGCTGCCATATGTGCCAGGCAACTCTTTTTCTGAAATGCGTGGTCATTCCGTCTGGACGAAGAATGTTTTCTATTGCCGTTGTGGTGATGGCAGTAGGTTGTTCGCTTTTGCCCATGGTCTTTATGACCGCACGCGCTCTTTTGGCATCCCCCCTTCGATCACCACTTACCTTGCTGCTCTTTGTGGGAAGCTTTTGGAGGAGTTTGTCAGGGCCCCTCAAGTGACAATTATGGATTTCTTGCTTTTCGGACATGGGACGAATTTTTTCTTTTGTTGCTGCCCGACTTCTCCCCATCTTCTGGCTATGGCCCAGGCTGGCCAAAATGCTACAGGGTCTCGCTCGAGTGGAAGCGGCTTTATTATGGGACTGGGTTCCGGCAAAAGCGTGCAGTAAGCTTGTTTGATTGGGCTGTCGGCTGCCGACTTTCATAGGCCGGCCAAAGGCATTCGCGCCAAAGTTCTCTGCGCCTGCTATTTATTTTTCTCCCTCGTGCAATTTTTACGACCTGTTGCCGCTGCCCGAAGGAGGAATGGGGAAATGCATTTGGGCCTATCTGCCGTGCCAGGGCAGATTATGTGGGACTCCGTGGTGGAGAAACCCGCCCATACCCACTAAAACCCATGAGCATGGAGATCTTTCAACCCACGGGCGTGAGCGACACCAGCGGCACGGTGTCCCAAGGAGCGGTCTCCGGTTAGGCCTTTCGCTTGGCCCCTGGAAGGCCATGTCGCGTTTCATCCGGAACATGGCGAAGTTCCCGGGAGAGCTATGGCGTATAGCATTGGATTCCCCAGTCTGGGAAACCGGGTGCCCGACCGTGAAACTTATTGATCGATAGCGTGTGTTTTCCCGGCGGCCCCTTCATTCAGGTACTTTATTCATTACAAAACGCGCCTTATTTGCAAGGCACCGAAGGACGCTGTCCAAATAAGTAGCGACCGCATCACAGTGCAGTCCGAAATAAGCCGGATTCGGTGCTGCAGTTATGGAAATTTAGGTTCCCAAGTAATGAACTTGGTGCTAGGCCTTGGTTCCACGATGGGGCATTTCCATGATGCCAGGTGGCGCCTACTATTGAAGTTAGGGCCCTCACATACTGTATGGCACTGCTCTTTGCGAGTTTTAAACGGATAATAAAAAGGGGAACCGTTTCTTCCCCGTACCGGAAATCCATTATGGGTGGTGAACTCGCAAAATCTCCTTCTGATGGACTTCTTTATTTCCACTTAGTTCGGGTCCGCATGCGGTCTGCTATTCTGTTTCCTTCTGGCGCCAACGCCAAGATGCACCGTTCGTGGGTGGGGGCTTGAATTGTGACAACGTCGTTTGCCGGGTTTCACCTTCAGGGGAAAGAGTCTCCTTGTTTCTCCAAAGCCTCCTTGAATGAACCTCCGATGCTTCGGGGTGGTCGTGGGCACCGTTCGTAGGTTCCGTAAGAAGGCCTGCTTTACCAGGCAGCCCCCGCAGAGGGGATGAGGCTTCATGGCGATGGTGTTGAGTGCATTTTGCCCTGTTAGGAACGTTAACTTTAAAGAAAATGGCCCCGGGGGTCATTGTTTCCGGGGCCAAACCTCGTTTTTTGGCCGAGCCCCCGGCCGGGTCGCGTTCACCCGGGGCGTCGCGCTATAATGGCTTACTCGGCCAAATTTGTAAGAACGCACCTGGCTCGGAGGAAGGGCGTGTCTCCACCTCTTGTTCTTCCGAGCCGCTTGCAGAAAAATGTCGTCCCTTTTATTTGGGCTCATCCGCAGCATCACGTTTATATATCCCAATCCGTACATCAGGGTGGTTCTTCAATGTTTGAATTGTGCGCGATTGGGTATATAAACACCTCTCCAACTGAAAATGTTCTTCCGAAACGCCACCAGGACGTAAGCCTAAACAAAAAAAAACCCATGCCACAACGTTCCCCCACGCCTCCGAATATGCTTGCCCAGGCGTTGGTGACGCGGGGGAAATGTATTGAAAAGTCAAAATCAATTCTTCACCCGTCCTGCCTTCGAGATGTTTCATTGCCCCTTCGATTGTGCAAATTTTTTCTTCCGGTTCCACCCCCGATGCCCAATGCTTAACGCGAAGTTCCTGAAGACCCCAATAAACAACCCCCAACGATGGTTACAAACAGTCTTGTTGTAGGAGTCTTTTTCATGCCCAGTCGACAATTTGTTTAGCTTCTCCAGATGCCTTTTCTTGTTTTATATTTGCTCGATTTATCGTGGATTTTGTTGTGACACCTTTGTTTTCCTTGTTTTTCAGATGCAGCCTATTGGCGCTGCAACGTATTAATGGTATGCGGCTGAGCCTCTGACTGCGCAGCTTGTTGTTTCATAATGTGTTTCATCTGTTTTATCTGCTGTTGCAGCTTAATTGCCTGAGTATTGTCATTTTGTTGCACGTAAAAGGTTTAATCAGCCAGCTGTGCGCGGGACTTCGCGTATTGTTGATGTGGCGCCGATTGTGTGGTCTCTAAATTGGCACTATTTCTTGCCAAGTCCGGCCCTCCCCTTTTTACAAAGCTCGAAGGGAATCTGAATTCCTTGGCAGTGAGAAACTTACCAACGGGTTTCAAAACGATGCTAAATCTATTTTATACCTATGATCTAATTAAGCGATGGTCATCCCGTTCTCCAATACCGGCGGATCGTCCACATAGTAAATTGCATGGGGGTTCGGTGCCGGCCTAAAATAAAATGGGGATAGGGTGGCCTTTCTGGCGCATGAGCTCTGTAAGGGGCCGGGCGGCTGTCGCCACATAGG